TAACACAAATAAAATAAATCTCTTCATATAAACAAACTAAGGCTTTGTCTGTGCTCTTTCCATTTAAAATTAGAGGCAACCACTACATTTGAATCATGATCCAAACAAAGATGCTGCATACATGCAACATGAGCAGTTTTTAATCTAAATTAGGTTGTATAATTTCGAAATTTGAAACAAAAACAGAATGATTTGACTTCAGTTTTGTGAAACTATACATAAAAAAATAGCTGCATGAAACCGAAACAGCAGACGAGCTGAACGAGACGCAGATTCACTCTCTGCCAGCAGGTGGCGCTTAAAGCCTTTCCTTGGTTTCCGCTGTAAACAAAGCATTACAATAGCATATAAACTTTTCTAAAGACAGTAAATTCCCCTCAGACATACATTCATATAAACTCCTACCCCTAAATGAATTGCGATTTGTTTAGCATCTCAACCAATTTGAATCGTCACATATTTGAATCGATTTTCAAACGGCTCGCGGTTAATCGTTACATCCCTACTTCCAACATAGTATAACTGATGTGACTCAAACCGATATATCTGGTTTTATTAATGGTTTCGTCTCTGACTTTGAGGCTAGCCAATGACAGTTTAGAATGTTAGGGTGGCCAATCAAATGTATGTCTCCTGTGACAGAAGTGTATTTTTTGTGTGAAATATTCCTTTTAAAGATGCTTTCTTTGTGCTGGTATACAGTGAATTAAGGTAGCTGACATAAAATCCTTATGTAAAGTTGAAATTTCCGACTATTTCCTACTAAAGCATTTTGCTAATTCTGTTATTACTTGCTGCTTGTTGACCTTGTAATAATAGAGACACTACAATTAAATATTGATACTTTTACATTTTCATTTTTTTTCAGACTGCAAGACCATTTTAAATGAACTTGTGAAGTTAAGAAAAGGTGAACAGGTGCTTAAGTTACTATTTTTGGCCTTGTTCATAAAATATAAATTTTAACCTAAAATCTTGATGTTAATAATAAGTGCTTAGACATCAACTAGGTGAATATCACAACAAAAAAATGTTTGTTGTCACATTTCACACAAAATTCAAAAGAAAACATAACTAATTTAATTTTGCATAAACAAAATGAACCATTTGCAAAACACTAAAGAAAGGTTTGCATTGCATTTACATTATTTTCATAACAATTAAGCACATTTGCCACTAAATTCTCATTACTGTAATAGTCACATATTTTAAAGGTGGATTTCAAAAAAGGTGTCAACTTTAATACAAATAGTTTAACTGTAATTAACATTAACACTTATATATAGCAGTGCATTTGTGTGCTCATAATTGGCCTCTAGTTGTGGCAGAAAGTTCATGAAGAACAACCTGTTCCAGCCGATGCTCCATGAAGTTGGAGTGTCTGTGGGTACCAGAAAAAAAAAACACTTGTAATTTATCTTAGCTGCAAGTATTTTTTAAAACAGAATGTAACACTCTTAGTTGTTCTCTGCAGCAAGATGGAAGACTGTTTTTATATCTCTGAATTTTGTAACAAGACGTGCGATTGGAAATCGAGCTTCATTTAAATGTTTAATGCTAAGGATAAAGTGTGAGTTTTATTATTTTTTCTTTTGATTGATTATCGAAATAATATAGTAATCTCCATCTCCATTCTGAAAATTTACATTTCCACAAAAAAAACAAAACAAGACCATACATTCACGAATCCATTCCAGAATGCACTTTTTAATGAGTTTTTACAAACCAGAAAATGATGTTTCATTGGTGTGTGATTTGTGCTATAAGCAGTGCATGTCTCACAAAAATTTTTTGAACAAATGTCCGCAACACTTCAATTTCCCCCCCCAAAATGCCATCGAAATTTAGACACTTATTTGCTGATAAATCTTTAACAAGCAGTCCTCCATAACAAGCAGTCTTATATAAGCATGCATCA